ATCAGGATTTTCAGTGTTAATTTTCGTGTATCTTACACGTGACTTTTTCTAACATTGCATTATGATTCATGTAAGCCTTTGAAAAATGTCTACAAAAGCAATTATGTTAAAATAGTTATTATTTTAGTGATATTTGTATTATAAAATTGCATATGGAGTCATCAGGAAAATATGTAGCTGCTTAATATGAAGGAATATAATTTGATACATTTCTGTTGATGTGAGGGTCATTTCACGAACATTTCCTTTTCTTATAAAGCATTTCATTGACCCTGTCATCAGTCTAAGATCAGGGACTTTGACAAAACTATTGTATCTTTCCATTGTCTTGTGCTTCCTAGAGACTCAATGTGTTTCTTTGTTTTCGAGATTCAATCAATTAAGAAAAATACATCTATGTAAAAAAAAAGGAATAATATCTCCTTTGCTTCATCTATTCCTCCTAATAAAATAATTTTTAAAACGTACACAAAGACTGAATAAGACAAGCCAGTCCACACACATTCAGTTCCCCCAATACAACGTCTATGATTCTGATTACATAGAATTATAGGAAATCAAACCTGATCTACTTTTCAGAACGTTTGCTACCTGGGCAGAGGGCATGGTGAGGGGAGGCGGCTCTGCATACAGACCTGAGTGTAGGAAGACAGCCACAGAAATATTTAGCAGGCTCTAGTTAATATGCAGAACCTTGCTAGACATATTTATTATTGTATGTAATTCTAAGTCCTTATAAATAGTATACTTCACACATATTTTGGAAAATTGTGATTTTGTAAAAACTCATCAATGGATAAGTGATGGATAACACTCATACAATGAATAAAACTATGATTAACAAGAAGAATCCATATTAAAATCTACAATCTCTTGCTAGGAATACCTTTCAACTAACTGCATTCTTTCAAAAGATGTCAGAGATACATGGGGGCCTCTGATCACTATGAAAACAGACAGTAAAATGTGTGTCTATTTACTGCAAGTTAAGATCTCATTTCCACCTAGAAAACTCACTGCACCCAAAGAGGACATCTCTTAGACTGGCATCAAGGGCCGCAACAAAGCATGTAGCTCTGGGTGGGATGCAATCTCACCCGTTCATCAACTTCCCCACTCAGGAAATCCTACTACATGGAGATTCTTTGGTGACCCTCAGAGGCCAAATTGCAAATGTGACCACTGAAGGAGCAGCGTTCTCCTCCCCACTTGACAGCAGGACGCTGGACTCTGAGTCGTCACCCTCTTACCCTGCCACGCGTGTCTTTGCGGGGGAAGGAGCTCCAGGGCACTCCGGAGCAGGGCGTCACCCTCGCTGGTGGGGCTGAGGGGAGTCGGGCAGGGGCGGGAAGATCCTACCTCTGTCTGCCTCACGCAGCACCTGGGCACGGAGTCTCCGGGCAGGAACGAGGCGACTCAGAACTGGGACCCATTCGCCTCCTGCACCTCACGGAGGGTCTGTGCCTCCGCAGGCACCCAGAGCCTCAGCTGCGCCCGGACCCTAATGCGGGACTCTGCTCCTCTCACCAGGCCGCTTGGGCCTCTGTGCCAAAGTCAGTCGTCACAGACGCCGTGATGACGTCAGGTTTCCTTGGCAACCGTGACGCCTGGGTTCGCATCCTTCACGCGAGACTTGTGTCACAATGGCACTCTGTTGCCGCCTTTTGGTGAACGCCCACCACCGTGACTCCTCAGACCACCTCTTTCGAAAGCGTACTAATGACACAAAGTCAAAAGCACGGTGTAGACCCCAGTTAACAACTGACGAAACCAGCGGTTTTTAGTTAGGGGATCCAAAGAACTCCACCAAGAGACTATCGGGACCCATAGAAAAGTTCGCGAAAGTAGCAGGATAAAAAACCAATGCACAGAAACCAATATAGCCTTTGTATACAAGCAAATGCCATGGCTGAGAAAGGACTTCTAATACCCATTCCATTCAGAACAGCTACAAAATAAATCACATTCCTTGGAATCAGTGTAACCACGGATGTCAAAGGTCTGTATGATGAGGATTACAGAACATTAAAGACAGAAATAGAAGATAGCAACTAATGGAAAACTCTTCCATGTTCTTGGAAATAAAGAAAGTTTTCTACAAGAAAAGTAAGTGTTCGGGAGGGCAAATACATACACGCATGCACATGCACACACCATTACTCCCACTATGGCAAATTTCCTCCAAATTCTCTAAGCTGGAATTCTGGTAAATACAAATCAAGATGTCATATACAACACATGGTACAGACTTCTGAGTCTAGTATTTTAAAATGTATTATCAATCGTGATTTTGAAAGTCTGATTATAATATCTATACAGGAGAAATATAAGAAGCTTCAACAAATTCATTAGGGGCCAGCACTGTGGCATAGGCAGCTAAGCCTCGGCCTGCCATGCTGGCCTCCCATAGGGCCACCCGTTCTAGTCCCGGCTGCTCCTCTTCCAATCCAGCTCTCTGCAATGGCCTGCAAAAACAGTAGAAGATGGCCCAAGTATTTGGGCCCTGCACCCACGTGGGACACCTGGAGGAAGTTCCTGCCTCCTGCCTCCTGCCTCCTTCCTCCTGGCACCTGGCTTCAGATCCGCTCACTTCTGGCTGTTTCTGCCATCTGGGAAGTGAACCAGCAGATGGAAGACCTTTCCCTCTGTCTCTCTCTCTCTCTCTCTCTCTCTCTCTACCTCTCCGTAACTCTACCTTTCAAGTAAATAAATAAACCTTTACAAATTCATGGGTAAATGGAACTAAGAAATAAATATTTTTGGTGTAAAAACATTTTGTGACACAATCTTAATTTTAGTATTTAAAGTTTTATTTTTAAATAAATAAAACAGATTTCATGTTGTTCATATGTACAGTGCTACCCCCATAAGGATATTTCCCTCCCTCCTTTCCTCCTCCTTCCTTCCTATTCCTTTTAATTTTTGTGATAACATACTTTCAATTGACTTCATTAAGTGGATTGCACGGCATGGTCCAAATATCCTAAGCAACTATTAAAAAAGGTATTGAATCGTAAACACACAAAAAATGCATTGAGTCTCTAGGAAGCCCAAGACAATGCAGAGATACAAAAGTTCTGTCAAAGTCCCTGATCTTAGACTGATGACATGGACAATGGAATGCTTATACAATGCACAGCGACAAATCTTGGTACCTTGATCCTCAGATCAACAGATATGTATCCAATATATTCCTTCATAGTAAGCAGCCACCTAGTTTCCTGATGGCTCCATTGGCAATTTGAATGCAAATAGCATTAAAATAATAACTATGCAAACATACTTGTTTTCCTAGATGCTTTTCAAAGGCTTACATGAATCATCATGACACCATGCGAGAAAAATAGCCATGTACAAGATAAACGAAAATGTAGAACTGAAAATCTGATTTGATCCAATAGAGAAAACTACACATATGTGACACAAGAAATAATGTCTCTCTTGCTTCATCTATTCCTCCTAATAAAATAACTTGAAACAAGTCCACAAAGACGGAATAAGACAAGCCAGTCCTCACGCTTTCAGTTCCTCAAGTACAAATTCTCTGATTCTGCTTGCATAAAGTTAGAGTAAATGGAACCTGATCTACTTTTCAGAACGTTTGTTTGCTGGGCAGAGGGCATGGTGAGGGGAGCCGGCTCTGGGTACAAACTGAGCATAGGAATACAGGCACAGAAATGGTTAGCAGGCTCCAGTTACTGTACAGAACCTTGCTAGACATCATTAACATGGCGAAAATGACAGATCATTATTATAGTGTGTAATCCTAAGTCCTTATAAACAGTATGCCTCCCGTGTACCTCGGAAAATTGAGATGCTTTTAGAAACTCATCGATGGATAAGTGATGGATACAACTCATCAATGGATAAAACTCACACAACGGATAAAACTATGGTTACCAGCAAAGAATTCACATTATAATCCATAATCTCTTGCGAGGAATCCCTTTCCACTAACTGCGTATTTCAACAGCTCCGTCTCAGGCCAGAAGGGGCTCAGACACACCCCAGGGAGCTCATGGACAGTTCCCACTGGCCAGCGACGCCCTAGCCTTCCGCCCTGCAGAGCCCAGTGCAATGATTCTTCCAGCGCCAACACAGGGCCTCCGTGGGCTGCAGCTTCCTGCCAGGGCTCAGTAGACACAGCCCACTGCCCACCTGATGTCCATGTCCTCCCACTATGGGTGGGCCTGTGGGGTTTGGCATCTGCCCAAATCCTCTGGGTTCCAGAAGCTTCCCGCCCTGGAGTTTTGTCTCCTAGGAAGCCTGGGCATGCAGTCAGCCCTGACAACCCTCACTCCTGACACCCACCCGCTGTGTCCACAGGTTCTGTCCCTTTGGGATCCAGGGATCCTGGCCCTTGTGGCCAGTGGACTGTCCTGCTGGCTACTACTGCCCTCTGGGCACCCAGAGCCCCACCCAGCACCCATGTCCTGGGGGCACCTTCCGAGAGAGGCCTGGAGCACCCAGCGTCAAGGACTGCAGACCCTGCCCTGCAGGGCACTTCTGCACTGACTCAGGTGACCAGTGAGAACTCTCTGGGATTTTCAGGTCCCAAACAGGCCCACCTCTCCCAGGGGCCTCTGGCCAGCATACGGGCTTACATCCTAGGTGCCCTCATATGCAGTACGTATGACCTACAGCTGAGTGTGGCAGGCGCAGGGCCAGGAGGGAGGGCAGAGGGAGGGATGGAGGAGACCCAGCAGCCACGCCCAGCCCAGGACATGCTGAGCTCCATGTAGCAGGTGCTTTAATGGGGGCCTGGACAAGGTGTCTGGTGGGTGCGGAGGGCGTTGGGACTGCATACAAGGGGAAGGCTCTGGGCTTCACAGTGACTGAGGTCTGGGGCAGTGGACCCCAGGGAAGAGGAAGGCCACAGCCAAGGCGAGGCCTAAGGAAGGAAGCAGGGTTCAGCCTAGGCAGGAAGCAGGAGGGGCAGGACCTCAGGGGTCTCTGCTAGGATTGTGCCCAAAGGTGGGAGGGTGGGCAGAGCAGTGACCATGCCTGAGGCAGGAGAGGCTGATGTGGGCTTGACCGTCAGCTGTCTCCGCCATCTGTTCACAGACCACCTAGGTAGTACGAGGCCTGGTGGGTGCAGTGGGAGGAGGAAGGAAGAGGGCCAGTCCTTGGGGGTTCCCAAAAGCATCCTGTGTCACTCCACAATCAAGTGGGGGATGGGAGGCCTCAGCCCATCACCTGCACCCAGACAACCCCACAGGGGGCCTGCATGTCCAGGTTCCTAAGTCAGGGCCCCTCCCTTGGGCTCAGATGATCCCCTGGGGATGACCACATCTACCTTGCAGCTCCTCAGTCCTCACGGTGGGGCTGCTTCCTCCACAGGAAAGCCTGAGCTCAGGGGGCCCTGCACAGCCGTACAGGAAGTGGGCAGCAGGGAGAGAGGAGAATCAGAGCCAGAGGGGACAGAGTCCGGCTCTACAGCCTCATGCTTTGATCCCTAAGGCGCCTGCACCTCCAGGCTGGGCCCAGCCGGGGCGCTGCTTCCCTCTATCTCATGTGAAGCCAGGCCCACTGCCTGGGACAGAGCCTGTGTGCCCATCTCTCCACAGGGACCGGGAATCGCCTCCCCAGTGGGCCATGCTCCACGGGCTATTACTGTCCCCCTGGCCAGACCTTGGCCACCCCTCCATCTTTCCGGTGCCCTCGTGGCTTCTACTGTCCCGAGGGCTCTCCCCAGCCAAGGGCCTGTGAGAACGGAACCTTCCAGCCCCAGGAGGCCCAGGGCACCTGCAAGCCCTGCCCTGAGGGCTTCTACTGTGAAGCCTCTGGCTCAGGTGGGTTCGGGGCTGGCACTAGACCCCGTCAGGGCTCTGGATGCCAGGGGCTTGGTTGCCACAATGTAGCACAGTGCTGGAACACACACGGAGCACTTGAGCAACTGATGGGTGGGAGAACCTGAGAAAGGCCACGTCCAGGGGAAGAGCATGCCCTGTCCCCACCTCCTCACACCTTCCATGCCTAGACCAGCCCTGGGCCTTGTGGGCGGGGACACTGAGTGGGTCAGGATGGGCCAGTCTGAGCCAGGCCCCTTGTTGGCCATTGGCTGACTCATTCCTCAGTTGTGCAGTGCACACCAGGTCAGGGCATGGCCTGAGCAGAGGGGGTGGGGGGTTGCAGGCTGCTGAGGCAGTGCTGGGGGTGGTGGCCCCTGGTGGCCAGCGTGGGCAAGTGCACCCATCCATGCCCTGGAGAAAGGGGCTCTGCACCCCCTGGGCAGGGCTCCCCAGGGCTGCCAGCTTCCTGGGCCTTGCACCTCCTCTGCACACATCAGTACCATTTGGGCCCCTCCCACCAGCACACCTGTTAAGCAAAGAAGGAAGCATCTGGACTGGGGCCCCAGGCCCTGGACCAGGATGCTTCAGTCAGGCTGACCTGCCATTTCCCCCTGGACCCTGCAGCCCACAGCCCCAGCCTGTGCTTGCAGGGCTACTTCTGCCCCCGAGGATCCCACTCAGCCACTGCACGCCCATGCCCTCAGGGGACATTCGGGCCCAGGAGAGGGGCTGCAGCAGAGGAGGACTGCGAGCTGTGCCCGGCACGTTTGTGGTCTCTGGAGCGACTGTGGCCCCAGGGGGGCCTAGGCTGATGTGGGGAGGAATGAGGGAAAGTGGCAGGAGGGAGTGCCTGCTCCGGGAGCAGCACCCAGGAGTCCCTCGGCTGCTCAAGCCCATGTCAATGCCCTGAACTTGGGTTGGCCTGGCAGCTCCCACAAAGGCCCTCAGTCCCACTGCCCCTGGGTTCTCACAGCCTCCTCATCCCCAGCACCTGCATCAGAGGCCCTTGGGCCCCCAGCAGCCAGGTGCTGCTGGAGAGAGCAGACTGCCCTTCCTGAAGCATCTCTCTAGCTCCTTCTGCCCGCACCCCCCACCACGTCCTCACCCTGCCCAGCAGCCACCCTGTGCTCCTCTGGGAGGCCTGGGGGAGGAGCATGTGCGGGAGGGGGTACAGGTGAGAAGGGGTGTAGGTGGGGAGAGGTCAGGGGGTGGAGCAGGGTATGGAGGGGGGTGCAGGTGAGGGAAGGTGCAGGTAGGGGGAGGTGCAGATTCTGCTAGGTCACAGCCCCAGAGGGACAGTTTCTCTGCTGGAGCAGGAAGCAGCCAGGGTCCCTCTCTCACCTGCCTACCTGGGTCTCTTCTTCCCAGGGATGTTCTGCTCATCAGAAGGTCTGCCCCAGCCGTCAGGGCTCTGCCACTCAGGCCACTACTGCACAGGGGGGGCTGTGTCGCTCACCCCCATTAAACACAAGGTAAGTGACGCTAAGCCCCAGGGAACCCCAGGTTCATCTTGGAACACCCAGAGTGTATTGGTTCAGGACCTAAAAGCTAACCAGGGGCTCCTCCCTCCCCCAGGGTTGAAACTCCCTAAGGACAGACCCTCCCCACCTTAAGGTCCCCAGGCCGAGCACAGGGTAGGATGATAGCTCATTCCCACTGAGTCCCATCTGTGTGTCTTCCTCACGATTAACATCCCTAAAATGAGCAGCATGGGTCCTGGCCTCTAGGACCAGAGCTGGCGATGGTCTTCTGTCATGTGGCTCATGAGATAAAAGCTCATCTTTCAACAGGTGGCATCGGTTTTGATGACCCGAGGCAATGACAGTAGGCAACACGCACAGAACGTGGGCTCTAGAAGGGTGGTATTGGGTGCATGTGCACACAGGGCCCTGGGGCAACACCCCGGGGTTACCGCATCTTACATGAGAAGAACAGGAACTCACAGGGCATCAGATTTCTGGAGGCCACGTCCGGGAAAGCCTCTGTCTGTGCTGAGTCAGATTCTGTGCTGTCAGAGGATCAGCTGGGAGGATGGACACCCACAGGGGGACAGTCCTGTTGATTGGTCACTGGCTTGCTGTGACCTGGGACATGCATGGCCCTTGCCCTCTCTGGGTTCAGCCCCTGGTTTAAAATGGACAGATCTTCCCGGGTGGGCATTGAGCAGAGCAGTTAGCAATCTGATTGGGATGCCCACATCCCATAGCAGAGCGCCCGGGTCCCAGCCCCAGCTCTGCCCCTGATCACAGCTTCTTGCTAATGCACACTGGAAGCAGTGATGCCTCAAGTATCTGGCTTCCTGCCATCCACGTGGAAGACCCGGGTGGAGATTCAGATCTTGGCTTAGGCCTGGTCCAAGCAGGAACATTTGGGGAGTCAGCCAGTGGGTGGGAGAACTTTCTCTCTCTCTCTCTCTCTCTCTCTCTCTCTCTCTCTCTCTCTTCGAGTACATAAAATAAATAGATATGTTAAGTGAAGGAAATGAAACAGACTGCTGTTCCTTCTGAGATTCTACCCCAGCACCACAAGGGAGAGAACAGGCAGGGGCTGGAGGGAGTGAGGAGGCAGAATCTAAGAGGTCAGAAGTCTCCACGCAAGGTGCTCCAGGCTCCTCTCCCAGGCCTCTGCGTGCAGGGAAACCTGGCCTCAGCGACAGGGCCTGCCCGTGACCTTGTCCCAGTGCAGCAATGCAGCGACTCTGCTGTGCAGCCCTTTCTGCCCTCTCCCCCTGCACAGGTGGAGGCCCCCGGACTGTCTGGAAATGACATCTGCCCCCCAGGCTTCTTCTGCCCCAGGGGAACAGGCTCTCCAGTGCCATGCCCGCCTGGGTTCTACTCCTCTCTCCCTGGCCTGCACAGCGAGGACCAGTGCCAACCGTGCCCTGCAGGGCGCTCCTGCAGCCAGCCCGGGTTTTCCCGTGTCCTGGATACAGGGCTTTGTGATGCGGGGTGAGGGGACTCTCAGGACGAGGAGGGAGGGGACCCCGAGCTCTGACCTAAGCCTGCCAGGGCCCTCATGGCACAGATCTATCCTGCAACCCCAATGTCTTCCCCCAGCCCCTGTGAGAGGCACTGGCCAGGATAATCACTCCCCAGGGCATATGGGCCTGGACACATGCTCTGGCCCCCATCCGTGACCTTCCACAGCCCCAGGGCAGCCTCTGCACAATCCATGGGCATCTCTGCCTCAGACACCTGACCTGCCCAGCAGCCCAGGGCCCAGGGCCCAGGGACAGAATGTTTGGGGAGGGAGTCGAGCTTGTTCAGGAAGACTCTGGGCCCTTCCCGAGACTGCCTCCTGAGGCCTACTACTTAGCTTCCCACTGCAGAGGCTACAGCCTGTATTAGGGTGAGGGCCTGGAAGAACACCTGCCACATTTGGGACCCTCTCTGGTCCCCAGGATGGCCCTTGGCTGTGGCCACATGGGCCTCTTCCCTAAGCACATGCCTGATGTCCTGGACCCTGACAGCTGGCTGACCCTGGCACTCTGGAAAAGGCCCAGCCGTGATCCTTGTGTGCTCTCAGGTACATCTGCCTGGGAGGCAGCATCAACCCCTCCCCCTCCGACCCGACCCAGGGATACAGATGTCCTCCTGGCTTCCGCTGTCCTCCAGGGGCCCACCGTGAGCTGCCCTGTGAGCCTGGCACCTTCAGCCCACTGCCTGGGGCTGACTCCTGCTGGCCGTGCCCAGAGGGCACCTCCTGCCCCCAGGCTGCCACTGTGGAGCCCACCACCTGCCCCACAGGTAACCCCAGCTGGCCTCCTCCTCACTCCCTGCCTACCTTGGGGAACCCCTGGCTCTTCTCAGCTCCATCCCACACTCCACCCCTGGTGCTGCT